AATCATCCCCAACTGTCCCTCTGCTGGCCTGGTTGCCCCCTTCCCCACTAACCTGGTCACCCCCAACTGTCCCACCCCCTGGCCCCCGCCAGCCTTGTCGCCCCACACAGCCTGCTGTTCAGTTGTTTGGATGTCCCTCACTAACCCTCCTGCCGCTCTGGTCATGACATAAAGCCTGCTTGTTCAGTAGTTTGGTTGCTCCTCACTAACCCCCCTGCCGACTAGATCATCCTACACAGCCTGCTTGTTCAGTTATTTGGTCATCCCCCACTAACCCCCCTTCCAGCCTGGTCATAGGCAGCCATTTGTGAAGGTGTGAGGGTCAATTTGCATATTACCTCTTTATTATATAGGATAGTACTGGAAGTCCTAGCCATAGCAATCAGACAAGAAGAAAAAATAAAAAGCATCCAAATTTGAAGTGAAATTCTTATTATTTGCAGAAGATATGATATTATACATTTTAAAAAAAACTCCACCAAAAACCTACTAGATTTATCAAATAAATTCAGAAAATAAGCAGGATAAAAAATTAACATCCATAAATCAATGGCATTTTTATACACCAATAATGAATTCTCAGAGAGTTCAACATTCCTATATAATAATCCCATATTGCAACAAATAAATAAGATATCTGGGAATAAATATAATCAAATAGGTGCAAGACCTGTACTCAGAAAACTATAGGCGATTGAAAGAAGAAATAGAGGAAGATACAAACAAGTGGAAGCAAATACCATATTCATGGATTGGAAGAACTAATAACATTAAAAATGTACATAACTATCCAAAGCGATCTACAGAGTCATGCAATCACTGTGAACATGCTTTTTCTGTGTCTATTGATATTATCATGTGATTTTATCCTTCATTTTGTTTGTGCGATGTACTATATTTATTAACTTGCAAATATTGTACCAACCTTGTATCCCTGAAATAAATCCCACTTGGTGATGATCTTTTTAATGTATTTCTGGATCTGATTTGCTGATATTTTGTTGAGAATTTTAGCATCCATATTCATCAGAGATATTGGCCTATAATTGTTTTTTCTCTGTAGTGTATTTATCTGATGTTGGAATTTTGATAATGCTGGAATCAGCATAGTTCACAGATCTAGAAAAAATACTCAAAAATTTATATGGAACACCAACAAAAAGACCTTGAATAGCCACAGCAATCTTGAGAATGAAGAACAAAGTTGGAGGGATCACAATACCAGATATCAAACTATACTACAAGGTCACTGTAATCAAAACAGCCTGGTACTGGCACAAGAACAGGCATATAGATGGGTGGAATAGAACAGAGACCCCAGAAATAGACCCAAGCCATTATGCTTAATGAATATTTGACAGTTTGGAGTTTTCTCAAAAAATTAAAAGTTAAACTGCCTTATGACCCAGCAATCCCCCTTCTGGGAATATATCCTAAGGAACCCAAAACACCACTCAGAAATTATAGATGCACCCCATGTTCACAGTAACACTATTTACAATAGCCAAGATCTGGAAACAGCCCATATGCCCAAGTGTGGATAAAAACATGAGTGGTCCATTTACACCACGTGTTATTTATTATGCAGCTACAAAAAAGAAGCATTTAATACCTGTTAAGACAGCATGGAGGGCCCTGGTGAGTATTATGCTAATCAAAATAAGCTAGTCAGAGGAAGACAAATATAACATGATCTCACTTATATGTGGAATCTAATGAACAACATAAATTGATGAATAAAATAGATCCAGAGCCCTGTAATCATGGAACTGACTGACAAATCTCAGAGGCAGTTGGAGAGAAGAGTTTGGGAAGAGATTAACCCAAGAACTTATATGCATATATACATAACCCATGGGCACAGACAGTAATGAGGTGAAGGCTGGGACTGGGGCAGGAGCATGGTGGAGGGGTGCAAATGGGGAGAAGTAGAGACATTTGTAATACTCTTAACACTACAAATAAATTTTGTAAAAAAAGCATTTAAAAAAGAAAAACTACTACAATCCAAATTTGGTGGACAGGCTGGTAGAAAATGAGCATTGAAGGTGATTCTGTGTGGGCCCTAGAAGGGAAGGGGTGCTAGAGAAAAGGCCTGTCCCCATGGTCAGGAATGCCGACATTCAGAGCCCAAGAGGGGAGGCCTTGAACTAGAGCAGGACCTGAGCACTGGAGACTGGAGGACCTATGGAGGAACCAAGGATGTGGCTGAATTCTGTTCTACTGTTTTTTGCAAAGTAGGGCTCATGGGAAAAGTGCTGACAGCCTCTTCTGCTGCCCTGTGAGGATGTGAGGAGAGAGAAGCTGAAGGAGTCATGCGGAGGGACCAGGCCAGGTGGGTCTGGAAGATTCTCAGCTTGTTGAGAGAGCAGGCTCCTAAAACAGGGCAGAGGGGCAGGTCAGGGGTCATGCCCCTGACTCCCTGGTTTCAGCAATTGGCTCAGCACTAATCAGGAAGAGCTTGTGGGAGTCTTACTGGAGCAGGAGCAGGTGTGGGAACATGATTAGGAGCAGGACGAGGAGGAAGAGAAGGAGCAGAAGGAGCAGCAGGAAGAGGAGGAGCAGGAGGAGGAACAATAGCAGGAGGAGGAGGAGGAGCAGCAGCAGCAGGAGAAGGAGGAAGAGCAGCAGCAGGAGGAGGAGCAGCAAGAGAAGCAGAAGCAGCAGGAGCAGAAGAAGTAGCAGCAGGAGCAGCAGGAGGAGCAGCAGGAGCAGCAGGAGGAGCAACAGGAGGAGAATAAGGAGGAGAAGGAGCAGCAGAAGCAGCAGGAGGAGCAGGAACACTAGCAGGAGCAGCAGGAGCAGCAGGAGGAGCAGGAGGAACAGGAGGAGGAGCAGGCTTGCCGGGACTGAAGGCCATCTGTGGTTGGTGGGGCACCACTGCCACAAGAGCCCGAGGACTTAGGCCCTGCTTGGAGGGATGGCCCCAAGGGCAGAGTGTGGACTGAGGAATCTTCTGGGGCCTCAAAATCGAATGGGGTTTGGGCCCTGGCCAGGTAGCTGTTTGTTAGTGTGACCACCATACACCAAAGGTTACGATTCCATCCTGGTCAGGGCACATACCAAAAGCAACCAATGAACATAGCAGTAAATGGAACAACAAATCAAAGTTTCTCTCTTTCTCTCTTTAATCGATTACAAAACATCTAATGGTGCTTGCCCTTCAGGCTGGAACTTGCTTGGGGCCATGGCCTTTCCTTCCCCTTCCTTCCGTCTCCTCCCTCTGGCATGGAAATGCTGGCCATGGGGCTGTCCGGCCTGCAGACCCTGAGTCTATTCCACAGTCCGTGGCTGGGAGCCCTCAGTCCCAGGATTCCTCACTTTCGTGACTACCCTGCCTAGTTTAGCTGAGATTGGGGACTGAGAGGGGATGCTGGATGGGTCAGACCTGTGGGGGTGTGGGGATGGGGTATTCTGCCTGAAAGAAACATATGAATTTGGTGAGTCAGCGGGTAGACTACTGCTGCTTGAATTGTGTGTCCCAATTTATACCCTCTCCCACAGTCCTGCAGAAGGCAACTTCTTTGGGATGATGGAGGTATGATGAGTGAGTTAAGAGTTCCCTGGCTTGGGTTGGGCCCCATTCAGTGTGGCTGCAAATTTGTGAGAAGGGGAGCTGGGGACAGACACACACACAGGATGAGGCCACAGTGGTGGAAGTGCAGAGTGAACGAAGGTGTGGAGGCGGGAAAGGAGGCCATGGTCAGCCGCAGGGGCCACCCCACCTTGCCCTCACCTTGATCTGACCCAGAGCCGGGCAGGATACACTGCTGTTGTTAAGCCGTAGGGTCTGTGTTGCTTTCCCTGTAGACACTCACTGGTGCTGTCCTGAGGGCCACCCATATGTGTAAGAGCCGCATGTCCTGTGAGCCTCGCGCTGCCTGGGGCCCTATTCGGGTCCCCCTAGCCTGTGGGCTGGGCCCGGACGGAATTCACTTAACAGAAATGGAGCCGGAGCCTGGAAGCTGTCCACGTGGAGCCCGGGCCAGGGGAGCCTTCCCCTCAGACCCGCGTCCTTTTCCAGTTCTGCTGTGGACAGTCACCCGCAGGGCCAGGCAAACACTCAGGCCTGGACACCCCATGTCTGTTGCTGTCCTCCGAGCCCAGGTGGTGCCTCCACTCCCAGAGCTGGGCTCAGTGGCTCTGTCCTGGCCCCTCCGGAGACCCTGGCCCTGCAGGGTGTGCCTTGCCTGCCCCTGGCTGCCTCTGCCCAGGCCAGGCCACCACAGAGGGTCAGGGCACTGCATGACCTCTGGCCCCCCGGCTGTGTGCCCCAGGCCCAGTGAGCCCCCAACACACGCCCCACGTCCCCTGTGCATGGCTCTGCCTTCCGCCCCTCCCACCCAAGTGGCCCCTGGCCCGGCTGCCACCTGCCTCGTTTTAGCCCCAGCATGGATGGCACCTCCGTGCTGTCCTGCCTCCCGGTCATGCACACTCTAGACGACACGGGTCCCCCGGGCACCCCCCAGACACTCGGCGAGGGTGGGACAGACGGCATGGCTGGCTTTCCAGGAACAGCCACAGGCAGTGAGGCGCATCCTGCCAGTGCCACGGGCAAGGCCCTGCTGACCATGGGGAGGCCAAGCCCAGCTCTGCGGATGTGGTGCTGGGGAGCCCAGGCCTGCGTCCCCTCAGCTCAGCCTCGTCCTTCAGGCTCATCTGCCCCAGTGCTGCCTGGCCAGAGGGCACCTCCCTTTCCCACGCGGCCGTCAGAATCAGGCTCACACAACAGAGTGAAGCAATGTCACAGGATAACATGCACGTATTTATTTCAAGGCGACACGGGCACACACTGTGCGTTGACACCTGCCGCGCTCGGCGGAGGGCGTCCAGGGAAGCGGCTTCCTGGCGCTGGAAGCTGGAGGCACTTGGGGGTAGGGGAGTGAGAGAGAGGGGAGGGTTATGTACAAGGGGCCCAGCATGCAGCCCCGGGCCAGGGTTCAAGGCAGCGGGCACCCTCTCGGTTCTATCTCCTTGTGTTCACACTCCTGCCCAGCGGATCACTTCACCTGCAGATGACAGAGGCAGCGTGAGGCACTGCTCAGGGCGGGTCTGGGTGCCCGGACCCCCAGCCCTCCCACCCGCCCATCTGCCCACCTTGAACAGGGTGACGGTTGTGCTGTAGAAGAGGCTGAGCAGGAACAAGACAATGAAGGTGGAGGCCATGGTGTTGAGGTTCTCGAAGCCCTCCTCCTCGGCGCTCACCTCCCCCACTGCAGGGACACAACCAGGGGCTCAGTGCTGCACCCCAAACCCCCTCCCAGGCCACCCATCTCCCACTTCCACGGGCCCTGGCAGTGCTGCTCCAGGAGGACAGGGCGGGGCGGGGCAGTGTGGCAGCAGAAGCGGAACCACTCCGACAGCCTGATGGGAGGTGGGCAGAGCCCTGGGTGCAGGGTGACAGCAGCTCACAGACACACATGGGTGCCACAGGGCTGGGATGGGGTGACCCAGTGGAGTGCCTCCTAGAGGGGGTACGGCCAGGGCCCCTTGCAGTGATGAAGCTGGGAGTGGTTGGAGGTGGGAGTGGGGGCAGGCACAGGCCTGGGCCTGAGGGACCCTCCTTGCTTCCTCAATGGGACTCTCACTCTCTTCCTCAGAGTGGAGGGCAAGTGCAGGAAGCAGTGGGGGCTCTGGCTGGGTTGTCTGACCCACAAGGAATTATATCTCTGGGATCAAGGGGTCTGACAGACACCTGAGGCTCTGGGCAGAGTGAGGCTGGATGGACAGATGGACACATACAATGGGCTCTGGAGCCCCAACACAGATGGGAGGCGGTGTCTGGAGCCCAGGTTCCCCAAAGGGTAGCCCGAAGGGGGGCAGTGCCATCTGCTGAGAACCGAGTCCCACCCGGGCCCCTGTGCCCCTCACTCTCTGCTGCAGACGGCCTCTTTCCCCATCAGGTTCCAGGGCCAGGTGTTTGTGGGGCACAGCCCGCAGATCAGCCTCCCTGCCTCCTGGACATACCGACTACTTCTGTTCATAGGGGGTGCAGGGCCTGCTGCTTTATCAACAGCCAGGACTGGGCCGGGGTCGCCCAGAGGCTGCAGCCACCTGCCCGGTGGCTCCCTGAGCCTGGGATGGAGCTCTGGTCAGAGTCCTGTCTGGCTGGCTGCACCTCCAAGCAGAGACAGAGGACAAGCAGAGTGGGCAGGAAGCCGTGTAGCAAGCATGGTGCAGAGGCACCGAGTGTGTGTGTATATCTCTGTGTGCACATGCATATGTATGTCTGTACATGGATGTGTCTGTGAAAATGTGTCCATGAGTCAGTGTACACATGTGCATGCATGACTCCCCTCTGTGTGAGTGTTCATGTGTGTCTCTGTGCATGTGTGTATGAATTACATTAACTGTGTGTATGCATGTGTGTGCAGGTACCTCTCAGTGTGTGTTTATGCCATTGTATGTGTGTATGTGTACATGTGCAAGTATGCCCATGTCCATTGCATCTGTGTTTATATCCATGTGCACTTGTGCCTCTGTGTGTACGTGTCCATGTATGTGTGTGTGTGAGCCTGCATGTGTCTGTGTATATGAATGTGTGGGTATTTGTGTGCCTGTGTGCATGTTTCCATGTCTTTGCATGTCTCTGTGTATCCATACCCATGGCATATGTCTATATTCATGTGTGTATGTCTGTGCATGTGTGTCTATGTCCATGTGCATGCGTGACTCTGTGTGATGTGTCCAAATCTTTGCATGTGTTTCAGTGCATACAGGTGTGTCTGTGTAAACACCTGTGCAGGTGTGCATGAGTATGTACCCATATGTCTGTGTCTTTGCATACATGTGCACACAGCATGTCTGTGTTTATGTCTGTGTGTGCATAGGTGTCCAAGTGCATGTGTGTCTTTGTTTATATCCATATCCGGGCATATGCCTGTGTGCATGCTTGTGTCTCTGCATTTGTGCATGTATGCATGTGTCTCTGTGCCAATGTCCATAGCATGCATGCATGTGTCTCTGTGCCAGTCAATAGCATGTGTGCATGTATGCATGTGTCTCTGTGCCAATGTCCATAGCATGTGTGTCCATGTTCATGTCCATCTCCATGTGTGTATGTCTCTGTGTGCCTGTGTCCATGTATATGTATGCCTTTGTGTGTGTCCATATTTGGGCACATGTCTATGTGCATGTTTGCACATGTCTCTGCATATGGGCATGTGCATGTATGCCCATGTCTACTGCCTGTGTATCTATATTCATGTGTTTCTGTATGCATGTGTATGTACATGTTGTATGCCCAGGCTCCCATGAGCCGATTGCAGCAGTAGAGAAGCAGTGAGCATTGGTGTTGTCTGCTGGGGCAGCTCTGAAGGGCAAGCATGTCAGACTCGTGGCCCACAGTCACAGGCCTTTTTTATTTGGCCCGTGTGAGCCTTTGAGTGTGTCATGCTTGCTGTAGGGGCTCAGGGCTTTGAGAGGCAGGTGGGAGGCCAGTGAGTGAGGCAGGGTTGGGGGCAGTGGTGACGGTGGTTTGCAGGGTGGAGGTAGCACAGCCATGGCCCCAGCAGGCGAGAGCATTGCTCACTCGGACCAGCATCTTTTGAACAGACATTTTTATTTCTAGTTTTTATAGAATGCAAGATCCCACCCATTGACACAGTCAGTTTGCATACATGCACACACAGCGACAGGTCAGCCAAAGGCTCCGGGACTGCCCTGGAGGGGCAGCCTGGGGTCAGTGGCAGGTGCTGGCCAGGTCAGACATGACCAGGGACACGTTGTACAGGGTGGGTTTACCGGTGGACTTGTCCACGGTCCTCTCAGTCACCGAGTAGGGCAGGGCCTCGTGGGCCACGACGCAGGTGTAAGTCTCCCCGGCACTCCAGTCCTCCTCGCTCACGGTCAGGACACTGTGGACGAAGTACAAGCCGGGGGCCTGGGGCTCGGGCACTGGGGCGCTGGTCACATACATGTCGGAGGACACGGGCTGCCCTCTCTGCAGCCACTGCACAAACACGTCTGGGGGCGAGAAGCCCTTCACCAGGCAGGTGACCGAGGCCGACTCCCGCAGGCTCAGCTGCTCCCGGCTGGGTGGCTGCACGTACACCGCGGGTATGTGCTTTTTGACATCTGTGGGAACAGGGTGAGCTCAGGTCAGGGCAGCGGGGCTCTTCCCTGACAACAGGGGGAGCAGAAGGCATGTGTGTCTGTGTGTCTTAGTGCACGAATGTGCAGGTATCTGTGTGTCATGGGCCTGTGTTTACATCTTCGCATGGGTGTATGGTTTTCTCTGTATGTGTCTGTCCATGTGTGCCTGTGTCCATGTGCATGTTGCACGCCTGTACATGTGTGCCTGTGTCCATGTGCACATGTGCCTCTTGCTCCCAGGCCTGCCATGGGATCTCCAGGCCCTGGGTGCCATGCGTGGGAGGGACTGGGGTGGTGAAAGGGGGCAACCTACCCTTGGGCCTGAAGATGGTGTGCTTCAGCGGTGAGGGCAGGTCCGTGTGGGTCACCGTGCAGGTGAACTCCTCGCCCCTCTCCCAGTCATCCACGCACACCGTGGCCTTTCCTGTGGCACTGAAGGTGGCGTTGGGGTGGCTCTCAGAGATGTTGGTGTGGGTTTTCACATCCTCGCCGTTCTGGCGGGTCCAGGAGATGTGCAGGCTGTCATAGGTGGCCAGGTCCGTTACCAGGCATGACAGCGTGGCCTCCTTGGTAAGGAAGATGCTGGCGAAGGTCGGGGGGATGGTGAAGACACGGATGGTGGATGTACCTGGGTCGCGGAGGTGGGGAGGCAGGCAAGGGGGAATCAGGCCAAGGCATCAACTTGGTGGAGCCTCTCCTGGGCCCTGGGGTCCTGCCAGAGGGGACACGGGGCCTCGCCCGACAAACCACCCTGGGGGACCCCCTCCTGGCCCCTGGCCTCTACGGGAAGCCAAGGCTCAGGGAGCCGCCTGCCCCGTCTGGGGCAGGTCTGCCGACCTAGTGGACACCTGTGTGCTGGGGGCTTTGCCGGGGCCCTCGGGGCAGGACCACTCACTGGGGCCGCACATGGAGGACACGTTCTTCTGGAAGGTGAGCGCCTGGTGCTCCACCTGGCAGGTGAACACGCTCTGGCTCAGCCAGTCGCTCTCGGTGACAGTCAGCGTGCTGGTGACCCTGTAGGTCACGGGACGGGCTCTGCGCTCGACCTCTGGTTTGTCCGTGACGAAGCCAGAGGTCAGCAGCTTCCCCTCCTTCAGCCAGGACACGGCGATCTTCTTGGGGCTGAAGCCCGTGGCCTGGCAGATGAGCGTGGATGTGCGGGAGCCGGGGCCAGTGAAGGAGTCACGGGGCGGGATGAAGACGTTCACGTGGGGGGGCTGCTCTACACTAACTGTGGGGAGGGGACAGCGTCAGCTAGGCCACCGCCCCCCTCGCTTGCCCTCCCGCCCACCAGGGAGAGGCCTGCTCACCTTGGAGGGGCACTTGCAATACTTTTTCACCATTGGGGTGTTTGACCTTGCATGTCACGAACTCATCCGTGCCCTGGAGGATGTCGGCCGTGGGCAGGAGAACCTGTGAGCTAGCCTCGTACTTGCCCTCCCTCAGGAGCGACGGGAAGTTCTGGACGGTGCTGATGGTGCTGGTGTTCTTAAAGCTCCAGGAGAAGGTGACGGAGTTGGGCAGGAAGTCCTTGGCCAGGCAGCCCATGGCCACCAGGCGCTCCTCGGACAGGGAGTTCTCACAGGAGACGAGGGGGAAGACAATGGGGGCAGCTGCGCTCTCTGAGGACCCGAGCGGGACAGAAGAGAAAGGGGTATGAGAGGATGAGTTTCCAGACTCAGCAGGTCAGGGGTCAGGCCCGTCGCCCCTCAGTTGCCTCTTGAGGCCAAGCCCATGACGACAGGGTCCCCCAGGCCTCGCCATCTGTGGGGCAGGCAGTATGGCCAGCCAGAGCCCTGGCAAAGGCAGTATGGCCAGCCAGAGCCCTGGCAAAGGCTGCCATGGCCCCCACCCCGCAGGAGCCAGCTCCGAATCTGGGAGGATGAGAGCAGTTCTTGCTGGGGCAGTAAGACTGGCCCTTCCTCCCCCGGCCGTTCTGTCCCCAGATGCAGGAGCATGTGCACCCAGTTCCCAGCTCACATGACCGAGGCCCAGACCAGCGCAGCCTTCCCTCTGACCACTGCAGCCACACACTCAGCCCAGCACCCAGGAGCCCCTGGCAGCGGCCAGAGAGAGAAGGGCCCCTGCGGGCCCAGCCGTCACTGCCGCGGCTCTGCCACATGGAATCCTGCCCTTGGGTCCTGGGAGCCAAAGGACGTTGTGTGAGGGGGGGACAAATACAGACTCAACTCAACACAACACAACCAGGTCAGCAGAACGTGCTTGCTTGCATGGCCAGCTCAGCCCATGAGACCCATGTGGCCCAGCCAGTTAATGCAGCCAAAGCAACTAGCAAATTCCTCTGAGAGAAGCCACTCACCCACCATTAGTGCTGGACCCAGCCAGCCCAGCTCTTCCCAACCCGGCTTACCCAGATCAGCCCAGCTACCCAGCTCAGCTCACCCAGCTCAGCTCACCCAACTCACCCAGCTCACCCAGTTTACCCAGCTCACCCAGCTCACCCAGCTTGGCTCACCCAGTACAGCTCACCGAGCTCACCCAGCTCAGCTCACCCAGTACAGCTCACCCAACTCACCCAGCTCAGCTCACCCAGTACAGCTCACCCAACTCACCCAGCTCACCCAGTTCACCCAGCTCACCCAGCTCACCCAGCTTGGCTCACCCAGTACAGCTCACCGAGCTCACCCAGCTCAGCTAACCCAGCTTAGCTCACCCAGCTCAGCTCACCCAGCTCACCCAGCTCACCCAGCTCAGCTCACCCAGCTCACGAAGCTCACCCAGCTCAGCTCACCCAGCTAACCCAGCTCACCCAGCTCATCTAGCTCATCCAGCTCACCCAGCTCACCCAGCTCAGCTTACTCAGCTCACCAGCTCACCAAGCTCAGCTTACTCAGCTCACCCAGCTCACCCAGCTCACCCAGCTCAGCTCACCCAGCTCAGCTCACCCAGCTCACCTAACTCACTCCGCTCACCCAGCTCAGCTCACCCAGCTCACCCAGCTCACCCAGCTCAGCTTACCCTGCTCACCCAGCTCAGCTCACCTAGTACAGCTCACCCAGCTCACCCAGCTCACCAACCTCACCAAGCTCAGCTCATCCAGCTCAGCTCACTCAGATCACCCAGCTCACCCAGCTCACCCAGCTCATCCAGCTCACCCAGCTCACCTAACTCACTCCACTCACCCAGCTCAGCTCACCCAGCTCACCTAACTCACTCCACTCACCCAGCTCAGCTCACCCAGCTCACCTAGCTCACCCAGCTCACCCAACTCAGCTCATCTAGCTCAGCTCACCCAGCTCACCGAGCTCACCCAGCTCACCCAGCTCAGCTTACCCAGCTCACCCAGCTCAGCTCACCCAGTACAGCTCACCCAGCTCACCCAGCTCATCTAGCTCACCCAGCTCACCCAGCTCACCCAGCTCACCCAGCTCATCCAGCTCACCCAGCTCACCTAACTCACTCCGCTCACCCAGTTCAGCTCACCCAGCTCACCCAGCTCACCCAGCTCACCCAGCTCATCTAGCTCACCCAGCTCACCCAGCTCACCCAGCTCAGCTCACCCAGCTCACCCAGCTCACCCAGCTCAGCTCACCCAGCTCACCCAGCTCAGCTCACCCAGCTCACCCAGCTCACCCAGCTCAGCTCACCCAGCTCACCCAGCTCACCCAGCTCAGCTCACCCAGCTCACCCAGCTCACCCAGCTCAGCTCACCCAGCTCACCCAGCTCATCTAGCTCACCCAGCTCACCCAGCTCACCCAATTCACCCAGCTCACCCAGCTCACCCAGCTCATCCAGCTCAGCTCACCCAGCTCAGCTCACCCAGCTCACCCAGCTCACCCAGCTCAGCTCACCCAGCTCAGCTCACCCAGCTCACCCAGCTCACCCAGCTCAGCTCACCCAGCTCAGCTCACCCAGCTCACCCAGCTCACCCAGCTCAGCTCACCCAGCTCAGCTCACCCAGCTCACCCAGCTCACCCAGCTCAGCTCACCCAGCTCAGCTCACCCAGCTCAGCTCACCCAGCTCACCCAGCTCACCCAGCTCAGCTCACCCAGCTCACCCAGCTCACCCAGCTCAGCTCACCCAGCTCACCCAGCTCAGCTCACCCAGCTCAGCTCACCCAGCTCACCCAGCTCAGCTCACCCAGCTCACCCAGCTCAGCTCACCCAGCTCAGCTCACCCAGCTCACCCAGCTCACCCAGCTCAGCTCACCCAGCTCAGCTCACTCAGCTCACCCAGCTCACCCAGCTCACCCAGCTCAGCTCACCCAGTTCACCCAGCCCAGCTTAGCCCAGCTCATCCAGCTCATCCAGCTCAGCTCTGTTCAGCTCAGAAAGCTTAATTCAAACTGCTACAGTCCACCTCAGCTCCAGCCGCCCAGAACAGCCCAGCGCAGTCCTGCTCAGCTGGGCGGTTCTGGTCAGAAGGCTCAGGCCACACGACCTGCTCACCTCAGATGAAGCGTCTCGCCCAGGACTTCTATGCAGCTGGGCTCAGCCAGGTTGGCTCCTTCCCAGGGCCTCTTCCTGCCTTTTGCCCCTGATACGCCCGCTTCCAGCCCTGGGCCCCTCTCCTGCTGGCGTCTGACTCCCAAGCAGCACTCATCACTGCCCTCCCCAGCAGCCGGTCAAACACTCTGCCCACTTCAAGTCAGTCTACATCTGGAAGGGCTTGGGGAGCTCTGGGTCAGCAGAGTGTCTCCCCTGCCCATGCCCCACTGTCAGTCTCCGGCTTTAACCATGTTCCCTCTCGAGAAAAATCACCCCTCAGAATGGCCAGGAAACGCATCTTTCTGACCTCGCAATTAGAGCCCTGCTTGGCGGCACACGTTGTGGGACCTTCCTAACGCGCGGCCATGACCCGAGAACAGGAACTGCACTCATGACTTAGGGACAGACAGCAGAGGGGGCTTATCTGAGCTACCCGCCCGCAGCTAGCTGGCCACAGGGCACACTGGCCACTTTTCCCTGGAAGGTTCTCTGGAGAGAGGTGACTGGGAGGGACCCCCACAGGGGCAGCTTGGGGGGGTCACACACCCAGCCCTCTGCGCCTCCACCCAGCCCTCTGAGCACCAATGGCCCAAGCTCCCCTTCAGGTGGAGGCAAAGCTATCAAACCCACTGGCGGCGGTGGCTTCTCACCACGCCTGCCGCTCACTCACACGCCGGGGCCCTCCTCGCCAGTACAGAAGTCTAAACACAATCTAGCCATTTTAAATTAAATTATAGAAGAGCAATGGATTTGAAAGAAATCCAATCTAGCCCAGGAATCGCCTCCTCATTCCGAGGGCAGGGGACCTTTGTCCTGCAGCAGTTCCTCCAACTCCTCTACTCTCACTCGGGACTCGAACTCAGTCACTGGGGACTCAGGAGAGTAGCAGGCTGGCGGTGGAAGCCAGGGCTGCACCTCCTGGCCTGGGGCTCGGCTGCTCTCAGACCCTCCACCTCCACTGGAGCAAGTTCAAGTGCAAACGAGGCCTTGACATGCCCGGTTCCTTTCTGCCTGGAGACCTGATGGGTTTCCTCTTAGTCCACTGACTACGAGGTTTCACTGAACTAATCCAGGACCATCCCACACTTTCCACCGGCCTCTGTCCTCAGGGTCGTACTTGAAAATCGGTCTGAAACAAAGGCGACTTTATCAAAAATCACAAAGTGTCTTCCTCACAGGAATAAAACACTAACTTAAAAAAAAAACAACAAAAAAAAACACACACACACAGAGGGTCCCTGTGACATGGGGCGTGGGCACTGCGAATTACCCCTCGTAAGGCCAGCAGATTTGACACAGGACACCGGCCCTAGGCTAACGGCCCCTAGGCAGTTGCCCACCTCACATGCCTCTCTTTGGACACTAGTGTAAACAAGACGCTGGCAAGCCAAGTCCCAAAAGGAAACCCAGACGTGGAAAGAGGAACCTCGTTCCCGCCTCGCCTTATCTCACATCCCAGCCACAGGTGCTGTTTGCTCCAGCAACACAGTTAGGTTTGTGGGCAAAAGTCCGAAACCATGTCTCAGAACTAGAAGCTATAAATGTGTCAACTGTGTTTTCTCGCTTCCGAAAATAGACTCTGGCAGGCCGGCTGGTTCCGGCCGCCGGCTGCAGGTGCGCGGCCCCTCCCACGGCCACTGGCTCCCCTCCATCCAACAACCTCATCTCAGTGAAAAGTAATTTATCTTCGTCAAAACTCAGCCCACGGTTCCATCACCGTGTCTGGCCAAACTGGCACCACTATCCACTCCTGAAAGACGCAATTCCTGATTGTTGATTAAATAAGATTTTTACAAATTCAGTGTCCTTGAAAATCTCTCAAGTTTCAAAGTCACACTTTTCTTGCCCTGGCCTGTTTGGCTCAGTGGATAGAGCATTGGCCTGAGGACTGAAGGGCCTCGGCTTTGATTCCGGTCAAGGGCACATACCCTGGTTGCGGGCTCTGTCTCCACTGGGGTGTGCAGGAGGCAGCCAATCCATGATTCTCTCTCATCATTGATGTTTCTATCTCTCTCTCCCTCTCCCTTCCTCCTCTCTGAAGTCAATAAAAACATATTTTAAAAAATAAAGTAAAACAAAGTCACACTTTTCTGAACTCTGTCTTTCAACTCGGTAAGCGAAGTGTTTCCTCGGTCCTCAGCCTTATCCAGCCACACGGCCCTCCTCACCAATACAGAGGTCTAAACACAATCTAGCCATTTTAAATTAAATTATAGAAGAGCAATGGACTTGAAAAAAATCCAATCTAGCCCAGGAATCGCCTCCTCAATCCGAGAGCTGTGTCCCCCGGAGCCACCTGCTCCTGGTTCTGTAAACTCCCGGTTCTGACTGCGAGAAGGTGCCTCAGCCAGTCCGACCTCTCGCCCCGGCATGGCCTTTCATGCTGGCAGCCTTTTTCAGGAGCTCAGTGACGCCCAGACAAGCCTTTATTTCAGTCTCCGAAAGGCGCCCAAAAATCAAGAGGCTTTGCAGGCCCTGCCCAGGCCCCCCGGTCACTGATGCCCAGAAAGACCCACCGAGAGGAGCAGGAAGAAAAGGCCCTAGAAGGGCATCGGTCTTACCTGAGGAGACGGTGACCAGAGTCCCTTGGCCCCAGTAGTCCATTCCATAGTAATCACAGCCGTGCAATCTCCATCCTCACCCCACAAAAACTGGGGCGCCAGCACGGCTTTGCCGGAGCCTCCAGGGCCCCTGACCATGAGCCGACAGCCCTGATTGGGACTCAGAAATCCGAGCCACACAGCTGGCCAGGCGGGGCTGCCACCTGCCCTGCAGTCTCCTGTCACTGTCTTTGGAGAGGGGAGGTCGGTCTCCAGCCCCACTTGGGGGACCCTCTCTCCGGATCCCTTTCCTGACCTCCAAAATACCTTGGCGTCCCCGATATCCAGACCCGATGCCCGACCTCCCCAAGGGCAGCTGCGGTGGGCACGGTGCAGGACTCACCTGAGGAGACGGTGACCGGGGTGCCCTGGCCCCAGTATTCAAACCACCTGTCACATTGTGACAACCGTGCCCAGGCCCCGGGCAAGAACCTCGGGCCTCACATCCCCTCAGATGGTGCCCAGAAGGGCAGAGGGGCCACAGGGTCCGGAGGCCAAGGGAGGCTGAGACCCAGAGAGACCCCCGGCTCCAGAGCCCAGAAGAGCGGGTCCGAACCGTCCTCTGACCTGAGAGCCACAGTCCCCAGCCTGTCCCCATCCTCCTGGACCCGAGACCCAGACACACTCATTTCCCAAAAAAAGCATAAAAAACCCTTCAAGAGAGAGAGGAGAGAGAGAGGAGAGAGGGGGTGGGAGGACTCACCTGAGGAGACGGTGACCAGGGTGCCCTGGCCCCAGTAGTCAAAGTTGTCACATTGCCTCGGGCTCCCTGAGGCAGTGTACAAAAACCTCCAAAGCCTGTCTCCTCAGGACTCCAAAACCCGAGAACACAGCCCCTCTGCCCTCCACTGCCCTGTCCCCCACGAGAGGCCTTCTGCAGTGGCCTCCGGGGCTGCCCAGTGGGGACTCCGCAGGGCCCCTAAGAGAGCAAAACACAATCCCAGGACAGAGACGAGAGAGGAAGCCGGCTTACCTGAGGAGATGGTGACCAGGGTCCCCTGGCCCCAGTGAGCAGTCACCACTATGCCCCGGGCTGCCTGAGGCCACATACAAAAACTGCACCACCACCCACCACCCACCACCCACACACCGCCAGGCCCTGACCACCCCAGAAACCCGTCTCTTCAAGTCTCCTCGCCTCTGAACACAGCCCCCTCAGCCTCCTTTGCAAAGACCCGTCCCCATGAGAGGCATCTACAGAGCGGAGACCCCAGTGGCCTCAGGAGCAGTCCCCTAGGAACTCCCCTATCCCCAACCCCAAGAATCTCTGGAAATTCCTTTCCCGGCCCAGAGGAGAGAGGAAACCGGCTTACCTGAGGAGACGGTGACCAGAGTCCCCTGGCCCCAGTAACCAGTCACCACAATGCCACCGGCTCCTTGAGGCCGTGTACAAAAACTGCACCACCACCCACACCCCGCCTGGCCCTGGCTACCCCAGAAACCCGTCTCTTCAAGTCTCCTCACCTCCAGACACAGCCCCTTCAGCCTCCCCAGCAAAAACCCGTCCCCATGAGAGGCATCTGCAGAGCAGAGACCCCAGTGGCCTCAGGAGCAGTCCCCTAGGAACTCCACAGACCACACACACACACACACACACACACCTACCCACCCCCACCCCCACCCACCCCCCGCCACTCCGAGAATCTCTGGAAAGTTCTTTCTGGGACAGAGGAGAGAGGAAGCCAGCTTACCTGAGGAGATGGTGATCAGGGTCCCCTGGCCCCACACATCGAAAACATCACATGGGGACACAGTTCCCGGTTCCCCCAGACATAAACCTGCCCCAGCCCCCAGCGGCCAGGCTGCTGTCCTGCCCAGGACCACAGGGACCCCGGGTTGGGAGGGCGACAGGCCAAGTGGTGTAGCCTCCTGTCCCACAGAATGCACCCCGCCCTCCTGTCCCAGGCCTGAGACCAGATGGGACCTCTGGCTCCTCACACCTGAGCCTGCTTCCCGCCCCACCCTGTCCCCGTGGGACAGTGGACGCCAGACTCACCTGGGGAGATGGTGACCAGGGCGCCCGGGCCCCAGTGCTCGAAGTAAGCATAGGCACAGTGAGTGGCCCCAAGCCGTGGCCTCAGAAATTCCTGCAGCACCTGGGGTCCCTCAGGAGCCACAGGAGACACCAGGCTGCTCTCTGCTCACAGACACACCCCCGGGGCCCAGGCTCCCTCCCTCCCCCTGTCCCCAGGGCTGGGTTTGGACCTCCTTCCTGACACCAGGCTCATCCCACCGACCCTGCCTGGCTGCTCCCCGGCACCCAACTGTGCCCCTTGACTAGGACGGCACCCCATCTCATGCTCCCACCCAGCCCCCAGAGCCCCTGACCCTGAGCCCTGAGCCCCGGCAGCTGGCTGGGTTTTTGTAGAGCTGTCAATCACTGTGCCCCAGTTGGCACTGTGGTCCCTAGCTTAGCCAAAACCTCTAGGCTGGGGTGGGGCAGGTGGGTGGAGATGGGTCTCCCCCTGAGGTCCAGGCTGGGATGGGAGGGCACAGAGCAGAGGAGACCCCAACATCCAGTCCTGCTTTTCCCTTTTCTTAAAAATAAGAGCAGATTCAAGGCTGCGCTGAGGCTCTCTCCTGCTTCCCCCCCCCCCCCCCCACACACACACATATTTGTTTTGTTCTTAGTGGAGAAAGGCCTCATCCTGGGAGGTTTGGGGGGCTGATGGAACCCCTAGTCCATCTCTGATCTGTGGGGCAGTCTGTCAGGGGCTCAGCTGAGAGGCTGCTTTCTCTCTCTGGCCGCATCTTGTTAATTCTACTTGTTCGCTGCCCCACAGGTGCGGGATCCTGGGGTAGGCTGCTGAGACAGTGTCCCACAGGGTGGTTCCCACCTAGTCCCCTGGGGTGACTGGTCCTTGTGGGGGAGGTAGTCTCAGGAGGGTAGTGCAGGGAGGATCCCTCCCAACACCTGGCAGGCTGTTGTCCCCCAACTCCCGGCCACAGGGAGGGGAGGGAGGAGGGTATCAGTTCCTGTCAGATGAGCTGGTACCAGGGTACCCGGGATGGGAGGGAGGGCACAGGCTGCCTGGGCCAGGTGCCAGCCTGCAGGTGTGCCCAGGGGCAGGCTGTGTTGGGGGAATAGACACAGCCTCACAGCCTCACAGCCTCAGCCTCACAGCTTCAACCTCACAGCCCTGAGGTCTGGAAGGGCAAGATAGTGCCCTGACCACTGTCTGGGGGAAGGTAAGAACCCAGTGTGTTGAGAAGCCCCTGTGTGCGTTGTGTGTGTGAGAGAGTGAGAGCATGGGTGTACACGTGAGTACTCATGTGCACTAGTATGTAAATGTACATGTGTGTACATCTATGCATTTGTACACACTGAGTTGCATATGAGTGGGCATGTGAGCACACATGCATGTGCATTGCGTGTGCATGTGTGCACATGTACATGAGTGGGTGTGTGTGTGTGCCTGTGTACATGATCGGGTATGTGAGCATACATGTGTATCACTTCAGGCAGAAGAACCACCAAGTGGAGGCCCAAGGCTGGCCTGGTGTTTGGGGAGCTCAGGTGGCTGGATGCGGCTGTGTTGACAGGGGACCCGAAGCCCCGTGAGGGGCTGGACATGTCCTGGACTTTGCTTAAAGTCTTGCTCTAGAAGGTTCTGCCTGGTCTAGTGTGGACGGATTTGGGTTGAGCTCAGGTGTGCGGGACGAAAAGCCTGTGCTGAGAGAGGTTAGGGTGCCCATGGGATGGTGAGCAGAACCACGGGGTGCCCACGGGGTCAGGGAGAGTAGGGTCCTGGGCAGCACTGCCAGGACTCAGCAGAGTAGGGTCCCAGGATCCCAGGTCTGGAGAGATAGGGGGCCCCTGAGGCGGAGCTGCAGATGCAGCGAGGGGGACAGCCAAGGTTGAAGGTCCAGTTCTGGCCTCTGAGCCCAGGGGAAGAGGGTGGTGATGGGGGAGGTACGGTCTGCCCTGTCCTGAGGGAATGGGAGTCCAGACCTCCAGGCTCTGGGGGCAGCTACAGCCCACGGGAAGCTCCTCAGGCCTCAGCCCCTCTGCAGGCTCTTCCTGCTGCGGCCTCTGCTCTGGGCCTCCTGCCTCCTGCTCAGGAAGAAAGGGTGGGGCTGTCCTTGACCCTTCAGGAAGCACCTGCTGGGCTCCCCAGCCTCTGTGCCTGATGGGGGAGGGGAGGGGCCCACCCTGCCCTGCTGGCCCCTTTCCTCCAGCTCAACTCCATCCCTCATCCTTAGCCCCCACCTCTCATCTTCAGCCCCCCAAACCCTCATCCTTAGTCCCATCCCTCATCCTTATGCTCCACCCCTCATCCTAAGTCCCAATTGCTCATCCTTAGGCCCTATTTCTCTTCCTTAGCCTCCATCCCTCATCCTTAGCCCAATCCCCCCTCATCCTTAGCCTCCATCCCCCTCTTCAGCCCCCTTCCCTCATTCTTAGTCTCCTTCCTTTATCCTTCTCATCCTTAGCCTCCATCCCTCATCCTTAGCCCTAATCCCTCATTCTTATCCCCTATCCCTCAACCTTTGCCCCATCCCCCATCCTTAGCCCTCAACTCTCATCCTTAGCCCCATCCTTCATCCTTTGCCTCCATTCATCATCCTTAGCCATCATACCTCAATATTGGTTCCCATCCTTCATTCTTACCCCCATCCCTCATCCTTAGCTCCCCTGTCTTATCCTTAGCTCTCATCTCTCATCCTTTGCCCCATCCCTCATCCTTAACCCCATCTCTCTTCCTTAGCCCCATCCCTCATTCTTAACCCCCATCCCTCAGCCTTAGCTCTCATATCTTATTATTATCCATCCCTCATCCTTATCCTCCATCTCCTATTTTTAGCCCCATCCCTCATCCTTAGACCCACCTCTCATCCTTATCATCCTTATCATTCTTTGCCCCAATCTATCTTCCTCTGCCCCCATCCATCATCTTTAGCTCTCATCCCTTATCCTTTGTCTCCATCCCTCCTTCTTAGGCCTCACCCCTCATTTTTAGACTCCATCCCTCATCCTTCTCATCCTTAGCCCCCATCTCTCAT